CTGTAACATAAACTCGGAAACCAGTAGCAACTTCTCGTATGACATCATCTACGAGCAACATCTAAAAGTTTAGTTACCATCGACTGATCTTCGTTCTAACATCGATTTCCCCGTCTTGGATCTCTAATTCCACAAACACCATTATTAATACTAAAACTAGGGAGCTCTTACATTCAGTTCCTGAAATTTCCCCATAGAAACTCTCATCTCGCGTTGATCTTCAATAATCTCAGAGAAAAATCTATCATCATCCTAATACCTGCACAAAGACGCCAAGAATGCCTCGTTCTTATCGTCCGATAATTTCAGTGTCAACCCTTTGCATTCGAAAGTTGCACAGGAAATATTTAGCATATAAGTATATAAATATTTATAAATATTTAACATATAATATTAAATATGTAACACATATTCAACATTTTCCGACGAGATACAGCCGACATTTGAAACTAATTCAACGATTCACAGATAAATTAAGCAGCAAAGCTTTATTCAAATATCTCACACAGCAGTACAAACTCTAATTGAAAAACCTAAATATTCAACTGTAGTTTCCCTGTATCAAATGCCTGAGAGTCACCTCTCCAGTGCAAGGGTCACCATTCCTTACATCAGTTTCCCAGTATCAAGGGAAGTCATCTCGACCAACTTCCCCGAGTCGTTGGTTTCTAGTAAAAAGCTCCTTATTCCTCCGTTAACCGACTGTTAATAATAGAAAATAGAGCGGCGCGTAGCGGCCGATTGTTTTCGCAAGCGGAACCTCTTCAACGGGAGAAAATTGTTCGTGAAATATTCCCCCGCGAGATTCTTCGGCGAGGTGCTCGGCCGGGCAGCTCGATACCGCGTCGTAAATATTATCGTAAGGCGGCGCGGCCGTTTCCCTTCGCGAAACGATCGTTCATTGTGATCAACGGCGTGTACGGAACGCGTGTACGCCGCCCGGGCCGATGTATCGATCCGAGCCCCGCTCGAATCGAATATGCAACGTTTTTTCACCGGTGAAAATTCATACGACGCCCGCCGCGCCGTACGAATTCTCGCGAAACCTTTCAAATATTCATGCGGCTCGTCACCCGCCCACCGCCGACCGTTCCGCCGATTTTTTTGCGGGACTCGCGAGGCGAGGCGAGCCTGATACGAAATCGGAGATGGAAGTGGTCCGGGATCAAGCGCCGGGTATGATTCCCGGACGTTAAGTTTTAATGGATCCGGTATTTACTTCGGATCCATTTAATCCTCGGCTATCCGGAGATCTGGGACGCACGGACGGGTCATTTTGATCCGCATTAAAAGGACGTATTTGCAGAAAAGGAAATTGCGTGGAATATTTGATGGGGCACGGCGAGCGCTGCCACGGTTTTTCGGGAGGTAAGAGGCTGCGGACGTTAGCGATATTTAATAGAGCCGAGGGGAAGTTAAATTGACATTTTGAGATTCGCCTGTGGATAACTCTGGGTATATTGAAAGTTCAACCCTTTGCACTTGGAGGTCTCAATCGCCGTTTGATTTGACCGAATGAAATGATCAAATTTAGAATTCAATATCAAATTTTGTATGATGTATCGACACGTGGAACGAGATAAACTAGTTCTGTCACTTAATTTATACGAGGTTTTATGTTAGTTGTAAAACGTATCGTTGATATTTCATTAGGAAGTAATGAATATTTTTTGAGAAAAATATTCTCGAGTGCAATTAATTGGTTTGTAACTCGGTTTGGGTATTGATGCATCAGTTTGTTGATGTGATTCCTTAGAGTATCGTTGGTTATCTCTGTGATCATTGAAAGGAGGAATCAGGATTGTTATTTTAGTGTTAATGGGAAGTAGAATATATTTGTGAAGATAAATGAGACGTTCAAAGTCAATGGAGTTCAGTGTGTATAAGAGAAATTGAGAAAATTAATGTTTAGGCTTTTGGTATTATTATAGAATATATTCAGAAGGTTTAAAAGATATTTTCAATTTTACTGTTAATGGAAAGTAGAATATGTTTGAGAAGATAAATGAGTGGCACAAAGTCAATGGAGTTAAGTGTGCATAAGAGAAATTGAGAAAATTAATGTTTCAGCTTTTGGAATTATTATAGAACATATTCAGAAGGTTTAAAAGATATTTTCAATTTTCCAGTTTCGTTAGCATCGGTCCGGTTATTTTTCCATTCGCTGCGCCATAGAATGGATTGTACGCAGTCGCGAGGGTTAACAATAATTCCTTGTTTCCTTTACTTAGAATTTCCAGCGCATTTTTCGTCCGCTGAAGTTATTATATCCAATTATTCCCACTTGTGAAAGGGGGCAATGAAAGAACAACCCAGGGAAGCAACAAGAATTATTCCCCCGCTGCAAAAATATACCCTACTTGCACACGGATAATTACATTCATCTTCCACTGGCCGACTGCTTCGTCTAAATTCTACTTTAAGTCCTTGCATTACCATTTATCCGGGAAAAATCCGGACCATAACTGTAGCGACCGGCATTGTGACCTCGAGTCTCGCTCGCGACGTTCCTTTTTGGCCCGAAACTGCGATCGCGAGTGAGATTCGCTAAAGTAGCGCAAGAGGTTAATAACTGCTGCTCCGACGTCTAATGGACAATAGCGAGTTGTCTCGAGGAACGGACAAAAAACGTCTCGTTTATCAATGAAAGGAATCTTTAGCGCAGAACCGCAGCCTGTTACATCATGCCGAAATGGAAGAATCCGCGGAATCGATACGACACGTCTTTGAAATCGCCAGCGTGCTAATTAAAACGCTAGATTCGCAACAATTTACGTGGCACGGCGCCATTGATACTAAGCCCGATTTCCGGTTCCACGCGAGCATGAACATTCGAATGAACACTGGTTCGAGATATTAGGTCGACCTATAAGTTCGTGTATTTATCTGCTATGTAAAATGGAATTTTATACACTTGTTAAGCTATTAACCCTCTGCACTCGGAAGTTTTTCCACTAAAAATATTTGAATATTTTCTGATGAGATAAACACGATATTTTGTGAAACTAACTTGAAATCACACGTACATTCAGAAACAAAGCTATTTTATTTTAATATTTCTCAAATTGATGCGTTATACGAAGTGTAATAGTAAATATCAAATTTTATAGTTTTACTATATATTTCTCAAATTGATGATTATACACAGTATAATATTAAATATCAAATTTTATAGTTTTACTCTATATTTCTCAAATTGATGCATTATACGAAGTGTAATATTAAATATCAAATTTGATATTTAATATTTATGAAATTACGTGGTGAGTGAGTGTCACCTCTCGAGTGCGAAGGGTTAATAATTGAGTTTTAACCTGTATTCAGTTTATCAGGCTATTGTTCGTTATCATCTGTCTCATTAGCTAGTTTTTAGCTAATTCAATAGATGCACTCTTGATGTTTCTGTAGAATTTCAAAAAGTTAATTTAACTGCTCGGTAGTTTTAGTGTTAACACGTTCCATACCACGTGTACCATTTATGCTTATTTATTTTAAGACACGTGTCGAAGAATATGAGACGTTGAAACGTTGATAAGTTTTAACTATCAGTCCCAAAGAATATCTTCAAAAAATCTTAACTGAATGTCTTTTTAAAATAAAACATATTTAAATACCATTAATACCACATCTATTCGGAAAATATCTCGACGAAGCACAGCTGCGAATAAACCCGCTCGACGCAGGAGCGCAAAGGGTTAAATCCGTTCGGCTAACCGGCTCTCGGCACGGTTAGTGTTAAATATGTGTATTTCCAGTGAGAAACTTCCGAGTGCAAAGGGTTAACACGCCGCGGCACGAACTTATGGGGCGACCTAATATTTCGGTGCATTATCCACGGGGTTCGGTTCGTGTCGGCCGGTAATTTGCGAGGAGCTCTTAACACAGCCGTCCGCGGCTAGGCGAATTTCCATCGATAATTCCTGCGAGCGAGAAGCCCCCGGCCGTCCGCGAGCAGGCGTAAAATTTTTGCCCGGACCAGCCGACTCGGTCGGCCGGCGACGAAATTTATGGAGATTGAATGACACGAACAACCGAGTAATATTCGGAAAGGCTCGTTCGGCAATAAAGCGTTCGCCGGGTTCGTGAGTGGGCGGCTCCCAGTGCATCGTGCAAATTTATTAGATCGCCGGCGCGGGGTCTACGAACGGCCGAGAAAGGGAAAAAATCTATGCGACCGACGCCGCCGGGCACGCAACCGAGTTCACTCGAGAACAGGCCGCTCTTTTCGAGAAAACTCGCGATCGAGAAAAAGCTTGAATAGGCGAAATCTTTCTTCTGTTCGTCGACAGTGAGTAATCGCCGGTAATTGTGAGCCGATCAATCGGCTGGTTAGGAATTTCTCCTTTCTTTTCGTGATCTATGAAGTCGTGAATGGGCGGAATTTCTCTGCTACATGTCGCTGTAATGAGCGATTAATCGTTGTAAAGTTGTATTTATTTGTGGACTCGTGGAATCGATTAGAAGATTTCTATCGAATAATTCCGTAGATCGGTTGGGAATTTGGAATTACACGAAGAGCTTAGTAGATAAAAATTGCCTAGTTCCCTGGATATTCATTAGCACGGTTCATTCTGAAATTTGCAGACACTGTTTAATTGTAATTCGCGAGGAAATTAATCTGCGTGATCGATAGGTTCATCAGTTTAGCAATCAGCTGACTATAGCACCCGTTAATTTATAATATTATTATTAATTTCGCGCTGGTCCGTGCGTTAAATAGAATGGAAATTCGCGGAATTACGTGTTCGCGGTATTGGGTTCACGGGTGAATGGGAAGAATGCCGATGACGGAGTAGTCTCTGCGCGCGACAGTGGGTCAAATAAGATGGTTACTTTTGGTCCATTGATTTCACCGTTTTCCCCGGGATCGTCTTCCGATGGGAGCATTTGAATAAATATGTCGCTCGCAGGGACGTATCGAATCAGCTGTTTTGCGACGCCACGGCGTTAACGGGGGCGCAAGAAAAATGAATAGCATTCGAATCTCTACCTGTACTCACCGATCTTCGGTATGTTCCTGTCATGATTTCCCTCGGTGGAAAACTGTAACAGAAAAGGAAACGTGTCCTGTTAGATTAATCATGGACGGAACATTGTTTCTTCGGTTTTACTTATTTTACCATTTTTATGTACCTCGCCTTTATATTGGACCAGTTTTATGTATTTCATTAGCTTTGTATATTTTACCATTTTTATGTATTTCAGTAGTTTTATGTATTGTACCATTTTTATATATATTACATTGTCTTTGTATATTTTACCATTTTTATGTATTTCACTATCTTTATGTATTGTACCATTTTTGTATATATCACACTATCTTTATATATTTTACCATTTTCAAGTATTCCACTATCTTCATACATGTTACCATTTTTACACATTCCTCAATCTTCGTTTAACACTAAGTACCACTAAAATAATCCTTCAGAGACTCATAACTCACTAATCGCACTTCCTAAAAACTGAATTCAACTAAGAAACAATATTTCACATATTGACGCACTTCACTTAAATCCGAACTCAAACATCAAGCTTCCTAATTTCACTAACTCAAGCTCCCTAATTCAAAACGATCACTCTACCGACGAGAATTTTTTAAACTCGGTCATCTCTGAGACACCATCTAATATTACGTACTGAAGCTCGTAGGACGGTGTACGCTCAGTTCAATTGTCTAAATAGAATTTTTATTGCCAATCGATTTTACTGTTCTCTCAATCTTTCTTCCTCCCTTATTACTTTCAGAAAATAATTACTATAGACTTCTGGCCTCCTACGACTTTTCTGTATAATCTGTCTCTTTGTAGTTTATACAGAACAGTCGTAGGAGGAAAACAATAATCTGTCTGTAGTTTATACAGAAAAGTCGTAGGAGGAAAACAATAATCCGTCTCTTTGTAGTTCATTCTTTTTGTGTACCAAAGGGTTGAATCCCGTATACTAAATAAATAAAGTCGTAGGAGGAAAACAATAATCTGTCTCTTTGTAGTTTATTGTTTTTCATGTACCAAAGGGTTGAATCCCGTACACTAAATATATAAATAAAATCGTAGGAGGAAAACAATAATCCGTCTCTTTGCAGTTCATTCTTTTCGTGTAGCAAATGGTTCAAGCCCGTATACTAAATAAATAAATAAAAAGTCACTCCCGAAAGATCTCCAGCTTTCGCTTTCTCAGCCGCGTTATACCCAGAACGGCGCAAATATCGAGTAGAAGATCAGGTTCGCCTGGAATTGTTCCGCTCTCCTCTTTTTTTATATATTCCCAGTGTTAATGGCTCGCTGGATACCGTTTCGCGGGGAGGCGAAATGGATTGGGCCGAAAGCTTTTAGCATGGTATAGGATTCTGGCGGGAAAGGAAAATTTATCGGTTCCCCAACGGCGAGAGTGATTCCGCGTAATAAAGTATTTCCAACGCGATGTTTCGCTCCCGTGATCCCGTAAACCGTCCCCTATCCTAGACTCGCGGAAAATATTCCGCGGCGGTGAGACTAGTCGATTTTTCATTCGTCAACTCGATTACACAGGCGAGTTTGATTACCGTCAGCCTACTTTGGAACTTCGGCCAACGGAAACACCGGCCCTGTCGTTCGCGCGTCGAATCATTATTTTACTTCATACCTCGCTGACACATTGCACACATTTCCTTTCAGAAAGTAAAGCAGCTTTCTGCAATGATGGACACGTCAAATCTTAAAGAATTTTAATTTTCATAAGGAATAATACACAAGTCGCTAAAATTATTCAATAATTCTAATGGTAGAAGAAGAAATTTCCTTTCGGAAAATGAAGCAATTTCATACAATGATGGACACGTCAGATCTTAAAGAATTTTAATTTCCATAAGGAATAATACACAAGTCGCTAAAATTATTCAATAATTCTAATGGTAGAAGAAAAAATTTCCTTTCGGAAAATGAAGCAATTTTATACAATGATGGACACGTCAAATCTTAAAGAATTCTAATTTTCATAATGAATAGTAAACAAATTTCTAAAATTATTCAATAATTCTAATAGAAGCACACATTTTCCTTTCGGAAAGTAAAGCATCTTTACTCGATGACGAGCACGACGCCGAAGGAGCAGAAAAGGATGGGGAAAGGGGGAATTTCGCAGCCATTTCTCTTTTCACGCGGAATTCCTCGCGTCGGAGTAACGGGGACGGTGTCCCGAAAAGAAGTTGGTTGTGGGAGGAGGATGGATCGATAGTCGGTTCCGTATCCTTGGACTTCCCGTGGAATGGAGCCGTACGCGTCCGTGTCCGATCAACCTCGAATTCTGATTAAATCGCGCGTGCAACAGTTTCGGAAGTCTTCGACCTTGTTCGCTTCAACTGTTCCATCCTCGAGAGCAAAGGGATCGAATAAAAAACGAGTGGAGGAGAAAAAGATCGTCGAGACGGTGTACCGTAAGCTTCGAAGTCGCCGGCGACGGAACGTGCCCTGTGTTCCATATATTTTAAGGATATCGCTTATACTTGGGGATGTTTTGCGTAGAACGTAACGTTTAAATGGGAGCATTGGTAGAAATGAATTGGTACATTATGGAGGAGAAGTGAACTGTGCGCCGCGTTACGTGTTATTTCGATGGGGAAGTTTCGTGAATGGTATTATCAATTCGGAATAACGATAATGATAGGGAGGGTCGATAAATTTGGTTTGAAGGGTTTTGCAGTTGGTATTTAATCGAATGTTCAATTGTAATGGGCTTCTAGATGTAAGTTTTGAAGCTGTGGAGCTTTAAAATTTTAATATTCTGAACTCTGAAATTAAATTTAGAAATTCAAACATTTTTTAATTCTAACATTCTAAATATTGGGATACTGGAGTACTAGATTACTCGAATACTTTACTACTTTAGTACTAAAGTATTAAACTACTGAACTGCTGAACTACTGAACTACTGAACTACTGAACTACCAAACTACTAAACTACTAAATTACCAAACTAGGAAACTACCAAACTATGAAACTACCAAACTACTAAATTACCAAACTGCCAAATTACCAAATTACCAAACTACCAAACTACCAAACTACCAAATTACCAAACTGCCAAATTACCAAACTACTAAACTACTAAATTACTAAAGTACTACACTACTAAATTACCAAACTATCAAACTACTGAACTACCAAACTACCAAACTACTAAACTACCAACCCACGAAACTACCAAACTACCAAACTACCAGATTACCAAATTACCAAATTACCAAACTACCAAACTA